ACAGATGAAGATGGTTAGGTTTTGCCTACAGAGAATATTTTAAGCAACAGAACAATTATGACTTTTTAAAAAAGTAAAGCAGAAACACTGTTGCAGTATGTTCCCCTTTACGGTGAAATCTTGTTGCGCTGCACACATTTGCTGACAGTTTCTGCACAGATGCATTGTGAACAAGGGTTTTGAAGGCTAGTCAGTTTGTCTTTTTCAATCATTTCTTTGCTTTAGGAGGCATTAGAGTAATGGTACTCAAGTAAGTCTACCTCGAACTAGAACTGCACAAATATTTTGATGTTATTCACAAATATTGCAATAACAAGGTCACTTGTAATAAATCAACACTAAAATGACATTTCATGCAGGGGGGGTCTATCTGATTGGTCAAATATATTATAAGCATTCAGATTTTAAATGCACGACTGCAGGAGATATTGGTTAGTAATTTACTGCAGTCCAAGTAGTAGTTTGCAGTATTGATGTTTTTGCACATTGATATTGTGATAATATGCAGCCTGATTGCAGTATGATAAACTCATTGCTGTGTTTTACTGCAGGATGTTGTTGTTGTTGAACAACATTCTCCATAAAGTCCACCTTGGTTCATACCACTGTTAAATCAAAAGGACCTTTAAAGGTTTTTGCAGGCATAAACTTGGTCTTTTAGTGTCGTTGTACCCAGCTGTGTCGCCCGTAGCGTCCTGCTCAGTTGCAAAACACCTCTGAAACCACCTCTCCAGTTTGCTCCAGGTCAGCCTGAAGCTCTTTGAATAAAACAAACATTAAAAGTTTAGCTCGGATTTCCTTCTCTGCATCATTTAAGCTTCATGACCGGGACAAACATTATGATTGTTTATTTGAAGATTGTTTTATGCTTTTACTTTGTGGTACACTTGGTGTTGCCACTGATGAATTGCTTCAGCGCTACATTAACTTGTGGTGCTGACAGTTAAACAGCTGTTCCAGTTCACTTTAAAAAGCCTCGATGGCCACATTGCGTATTTTTCCACTTTAAGGGGAAAAAAAACATTGTGAGTTTAAAGCTGGCCTGGGCTGTTTCGGGCTACGGTCTGCTGTGGCAAATATTAAATGGAGACACAATAACAGAGATTGCTGTTTGAACCACTGAATGAGCTGTACGCCTTGTGTCCGAGCAGCGGTGCTTAACGAACATGCGGACTCTTCACATTAATCAAACGTGACCCAAACTTGTCCAGGATGGGCTACTTACAGACGCAGAACATAAACAGCGCCGGCCCTCGACAGGAATCCTCTACTGGAGATGTAGCAGGGTTCTGTTGTGTAGATGTAAAGCAATCATCTATCTTTCTGGATAATCTAACTCCTTATTGGCTCTCTCAGGACACTCATCACCCGCGCTTGTGTAGCTGTAAGCAAACAGGTCCGTGTTGCAGTCCCGAACCTCTAAATCAGACCGGCCAGGGATATGAGGTGCATATGAATGAGAGTTGTGTCTTTCGCCGCCGTGCTGAGTTTGCTGTGTGTTTGCTTTGTTAGCCATCGCTCTCCTTTAAGACAGACTAATGTTTTTCTTGTTGCATGACTTTGTTATATTTCCCTGAGAGTAGGGCTGCAACAACGAATCGATAAATTCGATGAAAATCGATTACTAAAAGCGTTGGCAACGAATTGCGTCATCGATTCGTTGTGTTGCGCAACTCTTCCAAAAGCCCCCTCCCCTCCCGCCCGCCGTTGCGCGCAGACCGGTGGAGAGCCGGCAGGTGTTTGTAAGAGGAACATGGCAGAAGCAGCGAGACCCCAAAAAAGTAAAAACTTCTAAAGTTTGGGAGCATTTTCAGTTAAATCAGGTGAAGACATCCAACGTTTGTAGGTCAGACTCAGCATGGCACGGGGATACTACGGTGATGATGCAGCGTCTTAAACGCAAGCATGTCAGAATCATCAGCGAGGAGGGAGAGAGCTCTGTGTCTGGGTAAGTTAAAAACTTTTCAAAAGTGATTCACCCAAGCCCCGGATTATTACACAGGATAGACATGCCCTAAGCTCGTAAAAAAAAAGTCTTTAAAATTGTAAGCGCGACGCTATTAGATAGGCGGGGGGGGGGGGGGGGGGGGGAGTCGCACAGCTGCGAACCGGTTCCGCCGTCACATTCCCGCAGAAACTGGTTGATCACACCGGGGCCAGACTAGCATGTGGCTTCACAACCACAATGTCCTCAGAAGGGAAAACGCTTTTAAAAGGGAGGGAGGAGTCCTAACTGTTGCTGCAGGCGTGTTGTGTGAGAGTGCAGTTATATACTGGTTAATATATTTTTGGGTTCAGTTGCTTTCATGTGGCCTAATGCGAGTCTATTTGGGATCATTGGAATGATCAGCAGCATTTCTTGATGTGACTTTATGGCAGTTGCCCAAGGCATCATCACATGGAGGATGGCATTCATTTACTTTTGTTTTATTTGGTATTTTTCAGTCATTTTTGGAAATAGTGATTAATTTTGATTAATTCACAGCCTATGTTTAATTACATTTAAAAATTAGTTGTTTGACATCCCCAATTATAATAAATGTCTACAGATGAGATCAAACAAAACAGATGAGAATTGCCCTTAAAGAGCAAGTCACCCCCAAATAAACTTTTTTTTGCTGATAAACTAAATAAACGAGTGTCTAATTGTGCTGCAGACACGTGTCATCAATAATTTGGCACTTCAGTGCATCTTAGTTAAAATTTAAATATTCTGCCTAAAACTGGCAGTGTTGTGTCGTTGTCAGGTAAAAACTCTGCACTGTATTTTAATTTAAATCTGCCACCGCTATTGGCTAAGAAATATGCTATGATGTAAACTGGTACATTATGATGTCACAATGCTGTCGTGAGCCTGAGTGTGTGTGTATTTGTTAGCGGCTCCGCCCTCTCGGTCTGCCAGGCAACAGCATGTGTTGCATTTTTCAAACATGAAGTGGGAGTGGAATTAGACTCTGGTAGGGGTTGACTTGCTCTTTAAGCTGTTTAACTTGGACCAAGCATTTTAGGTCACAGATAGGTGTAGCTTAGGGTCTCTGTCTATACACCTTATAAGACAATTTAGGTGATGGCATGTTGTTTTTCTGCTATTGAACTGTTTTCTAATAATGTTGTGTTTAATAAAGTGAGGGAAGGAGAAAAATAACGTTTCCCTAGCAGTTTTTAAAAATGTCCCTATGTAATCCGATTAATCGATTAATCGTGTCGAGACCCCATCCGATTAATCGATTATCCAAATAATCGTTTGTTGCAGCCCTACCTGAGAGTATGGCTTCTTTTATCTGTGCTGCTCATTCATCACTGCAATAAAAGCACCCTTGCTCCTCCTCTGTGAGCTGAACATCTGGAGCAGCTTGTATGGATGGCTGACCAAACAGTAGCTATAAAAACCCAAAAAACATCAGGTGTGGTGTTTTTATCTACTTCCTCTACCTCCAAGCTCCTTTGTAGTGACGATGTCCAGCCTTTTATCTGCACACTGTAGCCTCTCATATCACTAAAATATATTTATATTTACTTTTTACATATTCTCACCCTCATTTCTTCCTGATGTTTTTTCTTTATGCATTATGATCATTATAATCAGCACAGAAATTCATTTTCACCTAAATAGGTCACTGAATGCAGCCATGTGACATGAAAAAAATCCACTTTTGTCTAATTCAGAGTAACCCTGGAATATTTAGAGCAGCTCGGTTACGTATCGCGCTCCTGGGCGGTGTCGGGGGAGTGTAACAGCACTTTGAATGTGTTAACATACAAAATTGATGTCAACGTGCACATCCCCTGCTTTTAGTGACGCCGTAGGACAGCTGATCTCACTAGAAGATTTCGAGATGCTTAACAGGTCTGAATCTCTTAAATGAGCCAGTGGGATTTAGAATGGAGGACTGATGAGTATGAAGGAGCATTTAAGTGTGAAGAGCAGATGTGGTTTCCAAATGATTAAAGATGAATGCCAGCTTTTGACCGTGATTGTGTTTTAGATCCACGTTAAGATTTCAAAAAAAAAAGTTGTCATGTACGTGAAACAAGACTGGCACCGTCACACTTGTTTCTTCATCTTCTCCTTTAATCTCCAGGCAGTGCCCTGTCACTCAGCCCAAACTGCTCTTTGATTTAACGCACAAGGAGAAAGAATGGAGGAGGGGCAGAAAAATGATCACTGACATGTCAGATGCATCAATCTCCACCTGACCTAAGTCCAGCGAGTATCTCAGCTCATCTCAGTCCTGAAAGGCAGTGAAGTGGATCTCAGCTTCTTGGATACAAACCACAATGATTGTCTTTCACCTTAAGAGGAAAAATAATAATAATCCAATGTCTTGCTAGTGCACTTTACTGCAAAAGAAGCATCATAAATCGTGTGAAACACTGGAGGATTCAAGAGTTTTTCTGCAAGGATAATAAAGCACACTGGGCCAGCAGCAGCAGGCTGAAATGCTCCTCTGCTTTCTCACAGATGGACATTTCCTTGATGCTTCTTCCCAACTGCGAAGGATCGAGAATAAGGAGTCATGAGTGATTTGTGAACAGCTATAAAATTGGCTTTTTTTCTCCCAAAGAGGGATGTTGCCTATGACTGGCATCCAGAGAGAGAGCACAGGCTACTTCAGCCCTGCTGAATAGCAGTGTGGATGAAAAGAGGTCCGCTGCCACTGCACTGGCTTAAGGAACTGCGGGTGCTGCCTGTGTGTACCTGCACTGATGCAATGGAATAAAAAAATAGGTTCATGCAAGCAAATGTATCATTAGCTAATCTTATAAAGAATATGGGGTTCACAGAGAGGCTCGTGCAAGTTCCAGTCAGTGCATCACATAAATATAACCATTAGAGGGTGGAAATAGGCTTTCTAAGCCTTTGCATCACAAAGGTGATCGGTGCATAAATCCTGGTGCACAACTGGAGCAAATTACATTTTAAAAAGTGCATTGCCTGAAGATGAATGCTTTATTTATACATAGAGGCATGCAAATGTAAAAGCGTATGTGCTGCTTACCTGGTTTTCTAGTAACAGGTGTCTTAATAGATCCTTTCTTTTAACTCCGTTCCTTCATCTGATGGATTTTTCTTGAATATGTTTAATTTGTGTGCATTTTAATTTATGCAACGGCTGCTAAAACGCATCCCCGCGAAATCACAGTACATCCCTTGTGGCAGCATCGCCCACACGGCATCCAGGTCCACTATAGACTGTAGCAATGTGCAGGAACCGCGAGGGATGAAGCAGCAGCAGGAAGCCCATTTTCCTCTCCTCGCGTCCTGGGAAGTGCTGCTTTCAGGGACTCCTCTTCTCGGTCGGCATCTGAGGCGGAGGGTCCGGTCGGTCTCACAGCTCCGAGCTGCTTGTTGCCTCCGCCGCGCATCGTGCTGCTGCCGCTTCTGCCAACATGACTGAAGCTGGAAAAATCACACGCGGCGTGCTGAGCCGAGCGCGCGCGCGCCTGCGTTTTATACCCACGCGCGCACAACTCCGGGACCATAAATATTACATGACTTGACTTTCTGCTCAGTTTCCCTGCTACTCTGTCACATTAACTCACACGCTTTAAAAAAACAACAACACAATTTTACTAATGTTTCCATCAATTCATGCCCAGCCAGTTAGGTTTATCTGAGGACTATTTTTCCTCGAAATCTTTGGAAAATAGAAAATTGTATAGGGGTATCAAAAGGTACTTGGAGGTTTTAAACTCAAAGCAGGCTGATGAGATGAGGTGATGCATTAATAATGATTTAGGTTAAGCATGCAGGTAGAAATGTGCTTAGAGTCACATGTGTGCCTTCTGTTTTTGAAAGCAAACTCCACTTCTAACAATCTTTGGAGAGAAAAGTGGATTTGACGTGATGGTTGAGCTTAAAAGGGTCATGTAAGGATGTGGGGTTATGTAAGTGTCGGTTGGAGTGAGTTTAAGGCTTCAGGATGTGAATGAAAGTCAAATATCCCATAAGATGATGGATTTGGGTCAAGATGCATGTCTGCTCATAATAAAAAGAATAAATGTTATATTTTGTTTGTTTTTCTCAATGGTGGGATCATTAAAAGTGCCTGACTGGGATTTTTCTTTAGCTAAATGGCTTTAAAAACAGAAAAGGGAAACAACATGTGGATGCATTTTTGAGTCAGACACGTCTGATTCATTTTGTGCTGCCAGTGAACACACACTGACACACAGCGAATGTGTTCAGTCACTCAGCGTAGTATCTGCACCCACCATGAGGCCTTTTCATGAGCAGCTGAGCACTCTGACCAGGTGCATCTCGTTCCTGTCATCCCGCCAGCTGAAAGACCTTGCTCTTTTCCCCACATGAGGCAACTCCAATCATCTGACGCTTTAAGTAACAAACCTGAGCTGCATGTCGCAGCACAGGCAGCATTTGTTCAGCCGCCGAGGAGCATGTGCACGTTTCTGTCTGAGGCAGCACTCTTTTAATTAAGGCTTGTTAATTAAGGTTCAGATCTGCTGCAGTAGACTGCTCCATGTTGGTTGTTCAGCCTACAGCTGTTCTCCAGGTTATCTATGCCAAGGGCGATGAAGTGATTGGAGATAATAAATAAAATACTTTCAGTGGCTTCGCCACAAAACACGTCCGCTCCAGGTTCTGTTCATCCAAATGGCTTCCATTAAGGAACAAAAGTTCCCCTAACAGATTTGTTCCCTTTTTGGCCTTTTGCTTATTGTTAAACATTTCTAGTCACTTTCAGTATCAAAGATCAGAGCAGGTGTTTTTATTCAAAGTTAATAAAGATGTACGTAAAACAGTAGCTGACCTAAAAACGAAATAACTGGTCGTACAACTTTGGTGGACACAGCTTCAGTCAAGTATTTGTAATAACCAGTATCACTTACCACGCCACTCTTCTCTACAAAACTGTGTTAATTTAGTCTGATTAGAGGGGTTTTCTAGCATGAATGACTTGTTTAATGTCAAAGGTCAGAACTTGTTCTTCATAAATTTCTGCTAGGGAGCAGATTTCTTTTTTCCATCAAGTACATGTCATCCAGGTCCTGAAACAGCAAAGCAACCCCAGACCATCACACTACCACCACCATGTCTGACTGTTCTTCTTATGAAACTGACGTAGTAACAAAACACACACTCCAAAAAGGTCGCGTTTGTCTACTTTGTTCACAGATTATTTTTTCTAATGAGTTTGGGATTATTAAAAATCAGCTTCACTGAAAATTAATTTTCGGGTGAGAGGTCCTACCTCAAGTGGAGGAGTTTAAGTATGGTATCTTGGGGTCTTGTTCGCGAGTGAGGGTAGGAGGGATCGGGAGATCGACAGGCGGATTGGTTCGGCGTCTGCAGTGATGCGGACGCTGAGCCGATCTGTCGTGGTGAAGAGGGAGCTGAGCCAGGAAGCCAGGCTCTCGATTTACCGGTCGATCTACGTCCCAATCCTCACCTATCGTCATGAGCTTTGGGTAATGACCGAAAGAACGAGATTGCGGATACAAGCGGCCGAAATGAGTTTCCTCCGTAGGGTGGCCGGGCTCATTCTTAGAGATAGGGTGAGGAGCTCGGACATTTGGGAGGGACTCGGAGTAGAACCGCAGCTCCTCCGGACCGAAAGGAGTCAGTTGAGGTGGTTTGGGCATCTGGTCAGGATGCCTCCTGGACGCCTCCCCGGGGAGGTGTTTCGGGCATGTCCTGCCGGTAGGAGGCCCCCGGGTCCACCCAGGACACGTTGGAGAGGTTACATCTCCAATCTGGTCCGGGAATGCCTTGGGGTCCTGCTGGAGGAGCTGGTGGAGAAGGCCGGGGAGAGGATGGTCTGGAGCTCCCTAGTTGGGATGCTGCCCCCGCGACCCGGACCCAGATAAGCAGAGGAAGACGACGATGACGTTATTCCTGATTATAATTGGTCACTCTTTAGCCCCCTTCAGACAGGCCATGAAAAACGGAAATGTTCTGGACTCTGTCCGTAAGACGTTTGTGTCTGAATACAAACATCTGGATAACGTGTTCCGGAATTTAACCGGACGAAGCCCCTAGTAACGGGTCCGGACTTGTTACGGACATGGTGGCTGCTTCAGACTGGTGAGGTAGAGTTCCGGACAAGGGGGAGGGGGAGGAGGGGACCGGGGGACGCTGTGCGCACCCAGATAGCCAGCCACTGTAGCATGCGGTGAACCACGGCAGCTTGCTTCCTACGGTACCGTCTAGACGCGCTACGGTGCGCTTCACACCGCTTCAGTGATTCCTTTAACTATTGAGCTTCATCATCCAGGTCTCGTATGCGTCTTCGTGTGCGCAGAATTATGCTTAAGCGCCTCGTGATTTTTATCTTGAGAGGCGTTATAGAAATTATATTTTCTTCTTCTTCTTAGCATGAGTCCGACCCCCCCCTCGCCGTCAGACATCTGGAAATTTTCCCTGCTGTGTGAACGCAGTTGAAATGACAAGTTCCGGTACAAAATTGGTGTGTCTGAAAACACAGTTCCGGTTAAAAACCGGATTGAATTGTCCACAAATGTTCCAGAATGTCTATCTGAAAAGGGCTTAAGTGTTTCATGCAGGTTGAACATTAAAATAGTCTCCTACACCCATCTCCTGCATTAGCTTCTGATAGGAAACCAACAGTGAAACTCTGGGATTTGATAAGTCCACCTAAAATTCATGGACTCACTTGGCTCGGGACGGAGAAGGCTGCTGTTGGTTTAGCGTCCAGGAAAAAGCAGAGAATGTCTCGGCTAGTAGAAGCTAACCGTTAGCATTAGCAACTCCACAGCACGGCAGAACTCCTCCAGGCCTGCGTTATTTGTGGAGATCAAACATCAACATTGCAAAGCAAACAGTCAATGGTAGAGTCGCTTTGCTGTTATCCAGTGACAAGATGTCCTAATATCAGGAAATAAGACACCAGATCATTTCAGATCATCTGAAGCTCAACTCTGATCTGGTTGACTTCTAGTTCCTGAAACAGGAGCACTGGAGCTTTTGTCCTCAAGAGTACGACCTACAAGGCATTCATTTATACTAAAACACTTCAAATGTATTAAAAACATCACTAAAGTAGATCTTTAAGATGTTTTTAGTATGTGAAACCTTTTTATTTTAATATTGTGCTTCTTTTTGGTCAGATGGGGCTGCTTTCTCTCCCATGTGAAGACTGCATGGCTTTAGATGTTGTTTTGAGTTCCTTAGTTATTAAATTTCCTTAGTAAGTGGACTGAAGTGTTGCTTTTTGAGGTCTTTTAGCCTACTGACAGGTTCTAAGGTGTTTGTTAATTCTGTAGGCCTGGCAGAATGCCAAGGTTTTTCAAATGAAGCTTATAGCTCAACTTTTAAAATATGTTATTACTTACAAGACCCTTTGAGGCAGGGAGATAGAAAAACAACAAAAAGAAATGATAAACCACGAAGCTTAAAGTTTTCAACGTTCATCTTCCAAGTTTTATGGCTGATTTTCTTCTAATTTACGATTAACTCTTTACTCCGTTTTAAAACCAAGAGCTTTAAAATCCCCTTTGATGTCTATGGAGAACGACTTATCTGCACTATAATATATCTTACTGGCATATTTACACTAAATTGATGCAAGGACACATACATCATGTGTGGGGATTACTCTTAAACAAAAGTCTCAAAGAAAAGCCTTAAAGATTCCTAAACAAAAAACACGCCTACAAACCAAATGCAGTTAAAAAAATATTACATAAAATAAAAGGGGAGAAAAAAAACAAAAAGATGGAAAGAGATTAATTTCTCATCATTGTCATTCAGCTTCTAACAGCAACCAGGACCTCAATGCTTTTAAATAGGTTTCCAAAATAAGAAGATAATGGACCAAACATGTTAGAATAGACAAAAATCCCTGATCTACATGGATTAATATGACTAGAACATGAATGTTGATGAGGATGCAGACTGTACTGCATGACCCTTGCACTTGACCTGGAAAATAAAACCCAAATTTTATGATGGAAGATCAAAAATTCAAAGCCCTTTGATGACCTTTTCTGTTTTACTTCAAAAACAATATTCACAATATGATCTGATGCTAGGTCTTGCTGTGCTCCCCCCCCCCCCCCCCCCCCCCCCCCCCCCGGAAAACCAACATGAATCCATGAAACAGGGTGAAGCATAAAAACTGCAAAAAAAAAACATCTTTCACCTGATCATGCATGCTCCGCTTCTCCTGGATTTGGTTTGCTTGTATTGATTTCCAAGCATTTTCCTTGAGAGAGTGCATAACGTTTTCTGCAGCTTCACCAGGTAAAACGCCACTATTCCTCATATCACATCCCCCATGCGAAGCACTGAATCTGCTACAGTAGCAGGAATTATTACGTACAGATAACCTTCCCTTCCTTTTATAATCCAGGTTGGCACAAAAAGGAAGCAATTCTTGATCTGAAATTATGCTTTCTAGATGAGATAAGCAGCTCACAATTAACTTAAGGTGTGCCCCAGACACAAGGAGCTTTTTCTATCTTCTGACCCAGCCAATCAAACTGCACCAAGAGCTGGTGGTACATCACCATGCTTTTTGTGGCTTCACTTGTCCTTGGTGGTGTCCAAAACCCCTCAATACTCCCCCAGAAGATCCAACTCCAACACAAGGGGGCGTACTATGCTAAGTTTGCCTCTTCTTGTCCAGTTCAGCAGCAGCAGCAGGGATAAATCTGATCTTCACACTGACCTTGAGAGGAACTACTCTTAAATTTACATTTTCAAGGAGAAAAGTCCTTCCTGCACACTTGGCAAGGCTTTTCCCCACATACAACTGCACTGGAATCAGCTGCTGAATGATAATAGAAATCTAGTGATTTTTCTCATAGACCACCATCATGCAGTGAACTTTAATGAGAAAAAAAAACTGCCTGTCAAAATATTAGTGATGCCAAACGTCCTGGTTATGTCTCTCTCATTATGTGTGCTTGTGTTGCATTCTCCAATTTAAATGTACCACCCATAGCTACAGTGTAATCAAGTCCCTGGAGGTTTGCAGCACAACAGTCATCATGCACTCTCAGTGCGGTGATTGCATGTGCAGATGGTATTTTCTGATAATCAGCCATACAGTATAAACGGTTTGTTTTTTGTTTTTTCGTCTAACAGCACCTCATTTTCTTTAGCTGCATTGCTTTTTTTTAGAGTGTTGGCACTTAAATGTGCTCCTGCTGCTCATATTTCACTTAGAATGCCATCTTGATTGCGCACAGGCATCCTTGAAAACTTGCAGAAAGCACCTGTCTCACTGGAACAAATGAGAGTGCGCCCGAGGATCGTGTTAAAGATCAGTGGTGAAGGCGAGATTTAATTGGTTTCCAGCTCCCAGCCTATGTTAAATGGAAGTGGGTGGCTCCTCCTTTGCACCTGATGGGAGTATTTACAGCTCTTACAGCTAACTCGCTGCACTGTTTCCAAGAACGCAGCGACGCACCATGACGCTCCGCTGGATTTAAGCAATAAGGATTTCCGACTTTACGCAACAAACTCAGAGATTATTTGCTGAAGTGAAAGAAAGAAAAAAAAGTTTGCCAAAAGTTGTTCTTTTGTTGTTTTCCACGATGCCACGGTCATTTTTGGTCAAGAAGCACATAAACTCCACAAAGAAGCCAAATAATAGTGAGCTGGAAAGCCCGACAGGTAACGTTTTCTCCAAGTTTGGATTAAAAAAGTAACTTATTTTTATTTTATTTAAGATTTGAATTTGTTGACAAGATCCCGAAATCCTGACAATCCTTTAGTCTGAGCGTTGACAGCCAACTTAACTGTTTTCACTTTGCGCTTTATTCCAGTGTTCATCACGCCGCACTTCTACAAGGGCCTCCCCTTATCCGTCATCCCCCAGCCGGAGATCCTGAGCCCGGCACCCTACAGCCCCATCACAGTGTGGACCACCAGCAGCCTGCCGCTGTCCCCGCTGCCCAGCGACCTCTCCCCCATCTCCGGGTACCCCTCATCCCTGTCCGACACATCCTCCAAGGACCACAGCGGCTCAGAAAGCCCGAGGAGCGACGAGGACGAGCAGCTGCTGCCCAAACTGACGGACCCGAACCGGAATAGAGGCGGAAAAGTTTCAATGTAGTTTGTGCAACAAGTCCTACTCCACGTACTCTGGACTGCTCAAGCACAAACAGCTGCACTGCGACGCTCAAACGAGGAAATCCTTCAGCTGTAAATACTGCGAGAAGGAGTATGTTAGTCTGGGAGCTCTTAAGATGCACATCAGGACTCACACTTTGCCTTGTGTTTGCAAATATGCGGGAAGGCTTTCTCCAGACCGTGGCTGCTCCAAGGACACATCAGGACGCACACGGGTGAGTGGAGAAGGGAATAAACAGTTTGGCCTCTGAGCCAAGACACAGCTTTCCCTCTGATGCAGCTTATTTGAATTCGTTTCACACAGATTGTTTTAAAGTTAAAGTAAAACACAATTCTGTATTTCAGTTAATCAGTGTGTGTATTTGGTGCACATGCTTTACTTTATGGTGCAAATAAATCTGTGCAGAGTTGTTGATCAGAACTTCCCTTTTAACCTGCAGGTGAGAAGCCGTTCTCCTGCCCTCACTGCAACAGAGCGTTTGCGGACAGGTCTAATCTCAGGGCCCACCTACAGACCCATTCGGATGTGAAAAAATACCAGTGCAAGAACTGCTCCAAAAACCTTCTCCAGGATGTCTCTTCTACACAAGCATGAGGAATCTGGCTGTTGTGCAGCACACTGAACTGAACCGAACTGAACTGAACTGAACTGAACTGGGATATGATCCTTCACCAGAACACCCCTTCCTCCAACTCCCCACTCTGCTTATTCCTTTTTACTTTTCAAGTCCAGGAAAGTGTCAGGGAGTCACGCCGATGTGGGGGGGGGGGGGGGGGGGGGGGGGGGGGGGGGGGGGGGGGGGGGGGGGGGGTGGGGGGGGTCGGTTTTGCTTACAACTATGCAGCCTGGTTTCCTACTGGTCCAAGTCGTTTTACAGGGAAGATACAGCTCTCATTGTTTCAATCAGTGTTCCCGTGATTGCAATCAGTGTTGAGCTTTGCAGACCAGCAGACGCAAGTACTAACCTACCTGTGCTATTCATGCACTTTCTGCATGTTTAGAAAAGTTTAGGCCTTCACAATCTTATCTTCAGCTGTTATCCATTTTTCTATTCAGGCAATAGCTGGTGCAGCATGAGTATGATCAGTGTAATACCAAAGCCATCGCTACGTAGGGAACAAGTGCAAACTTTCATGTGGGGAGATTATCAGAACCTTTGCACAGTTTTCCAGCACTCAAATAGCAAAACAAGTGCCTCGTTTTTTTTTACTCTGCAATATTATATATTTTCCATCAAAAAGGGGTTCTTTTTATATTTTTATATACTGAATGTAAGTGTGACTGAGATGATTGTACATGAGCAGTGAAAACTGAGATGCTGAATGATTTTGATATTTTTCCTCTATTTTTATGACACTTTTTGAAAATAAATGACATTTTGTATAATTCTTTCAGTATCTTCCAAGTTGCTTGTCATCTCAGAGGCTCTCTGTTGCCTTTCTGAGGCCTCTGAAGGATTTCAATGACTGTCACGCACTTCAAACAGAATAGCGTGCGTGAAAATAAATGATATTTAATCTAGCTTTTGCACCATCCTCTCTTAAGAGAATGTTAAAATGAGGAGCGGGGTGACTCAGCCCTGCGTCAGGCCTGAACCTGCTCTCTGTGAACCTGTTCAGACATCAAACAATCTTGAAATCTAACACATACAAGCTATATTGATCTTCACTCACTTGTTATATACCCTCTGAGGGGCCCATAACGCTGTATTTTTTGCTTGAAATGTGAGTTAAGCTTAAGTGTGAAGGTGTACCCAAAACACAAAGCTTTTTTAATCTTACTGGTTGATCGCATCAATCATCACTGCGTGGTGTGGCAACTTTACTATCTAGATGGTTTTTTTATTTGTTTCCACACAAAAAAAAAGATCAAATTTGCATTTGCTTTGACGACCTCCTTGGATTCTGGGGTGCTTGCCATCATAGATTAAACAGATTTCCTCTGGCTACATTTTGTTACCATATGCTGTCTTGCAGCAGAAAGAGATTAGATACAAAAAGCACCATGCCTTAAGGGATACAGTCAAAGCTGAACTCTGCCTAACAAACCCCCAGAGTGTGTTCCTGTTTGCACTAATGCCCAAAAGCTGCTGACCCAGAAGATGCGATCTGACAACACACACTCTTGTTTTTCTAGCTGCGAGGGGCTGAACTAGCCTGTAGGTACATCTTTTCTTTCTCTGACTCATCATCCAGCTATTTCAGGTGCCTCTCTTTGGGCTCGGCCCGGCGGCTCCGGGGCTCTTCAACCTTGCTGAAAAACAGGTGCAACCAGGAGGATACAAACCACAGCCACTGATACAGTGGAGAGCATGAGCCATTGTGAAAATGGCACAAGCACCGGGTTCTATTATTCACATCATAAAAAGTAAAGTACCATCGAGGGAGCACTTTCAACTCCTGCGAATGTTACCTGTTCTCACTTCCCTCTTTAGAGGATTTTATATGTTCTTTCTTCTGTTGGCAGAACTTTATCAAACAGGTAAAATAGTGGAATAAAAAATATAAAGCCACTTAGCTTCTCGGTTTGTTTTTTCCTTTCACAGCATTAACCTCAGGACTGTTTTTTGGGGGGTAACAACACATTAAACACTTCCCCCTCAAACGTGAGTATTTGATTTGAGGCGTTGTGACGGTGGAGGGATGAGACGGGGAGGAGAAGGAGCTGGGAACTGGTTTGTTTTAAATACATATGGCCATTAGGGGACGTGTTAAGGAATGTGAGATCAAATATTTGCATGGTGGCGGAGACTCGTCACACTGACGTGTTAAAATCTTCAAGAGCAAGTACAGGTACGGGAGACGGGCTGTGGGTGGTTGCGCAGTTTGATTGGAAACAAATGATCCTAAGTGAGGTAAAGATACAAAACTGTTTTTAAGAAGAATTACTGAATCGCTCATCTTGTGTAAGATTTCTGATTTTTGAAAATTTCGCGGACAAATCACACTTCTCATTGTGGTGATGACTTTTCACACCCAAGCAACCTCTCTCCTCCCTGCAGGAACGGTAATGGGACTTGCAAATATTGATTTAAGAAGCTAAGGAATAGCAATTAAGAGTACCAGGCCTGCAACCCCCGCTCCTAAACCTGGCATTGATAGTTTTCAGTGTGAAGCAAACCTAATCCACTGAGACAAAACAGGAACACTCTCATTAATTTAATAGTATTATGCTTCGTTTGGGATTGAGTGCTTGATTTGAGTGGTTCACACAAAAAAAAAAAACACAAAAAGAAACAAAAACTACAGTTATATCAAAGCCTACTTGACTTTTCTTTTCATTTATTTAATTTGACTGAAAGAAATGTCAGGTTAGTTCATTTATACTCCTCAAATACACTGAAAAAAGAGAATGTTTAATCAACCTAACTGAATTGCTTCAATGGTAACAAGCAATTTAATTAAGTTTATCCAACCTGAATTATTAAAATTTGTACTAATAATTTAAGTTGGATAAACTTAATTAAAGTGCTTGTTACCAACTGAAGCAATTTTTTAAGTTGGATCAACTTTTCTTTTTACAGTGTATAGATTTCTGTAATGTAATTGATATCACAGGATTAAATTAGGCTCCAGAAACAGTGGGAAACAATGCATTAATATATAAATGGAGAGTTATATTATATATATATATATATATATATATATATATTATTCTATATATATATATATATAGAGAGAGAGAGAGAGAGAGAGAGAGAGAGAGAGTATATATATATATATATTAATATATATATATATATATATATATATATATATATATATATATATATCACTCTCCATGGGTGCTCTCATCCTTCATCTCATTCTGCACACCTTTCTGGACTAAGATGCCTGATATTTTTTTCCGGGATCTGCTTTAGCCACTCATCCAGTTTGGGGGTTACTGCCCCGAGTTCCTTAATGACCACGAGCACCACCAATGTCTTCACTCTCCAGGCTTTCTCAAGTTTGTCTCTGGAGCCCTGGTACTTCTCTAGTTTCTCATGTTCCTTTTTCTTGATGTTGGATCACTTGGTATTGCCACATCAACCACATACGCACACACATATATCACTATATCAATAGATCGACAGATCAATATCAAAACTACTATCTTAATGATAAATAATTATTGTACAAATACAAAAGTCTGACACTGAAGGGTTAAAATAATTAACTTTATACAAAAGACATGACTGATTCATGGACTAATCCTCCTAGGCCGAGTCCAAATTAAATCAGATTTTATCTATTCATTATCTGACTAATCATTCCTTTCGGGGGATCATTTAGATTTTTTTATGCCTGTCTTTAAAATAAAGAATTAATAGTACCATTTATTTTATCACATGCATTTTATGACCTGTTAAATAAATGTCGTCAGCCCCGCGGCGGCGCTGAGGTCCGGCCTCAAAGAGGAGCGTGTCGGATGACTCCCTGGAACCTGCTGACTTTATGGTGAATCAGGGAGTGCGAGTCCTTTATGACCATCAAGTGAAGCAAATAAAATTAAAGGCGTTCTCTGAGGTCTCACTGTGTTGGCCAGGAAGTGATCCCCATACAGATCTTCACACCAACCCCACCACATCAGAGAGGAGATGGATGGTGCTCACCCCCATGCTCCAACCGCCTGGAGCCATTTCTGTCATTTTATTGAGCGTTCACATCTTGTTAAGGGCTGTTTTGCCAGACTGTTGTTTCTTTAAATGACTGCTTTAATTGTTGGAAATTATGTATTTATTTGTTTTTCTTCAGCCGTTTGCCTCTAATTACATCATTTCCCTTGTTTTTGTTGATTGATTCAAGCAGAGATAATTTAATCTGTGGGGAAACTTAAGAATTTGCCCATTGAGATTTTTGTATTTCTGTTTATGAATACATTCCAAAAAGAATGTCAGTTAAATGTTTCTGTTAAGAAGCTAAATGAGTGACAGGATGCAGTTTGGTAACAAAGTAAATAAAGGCTGACCTCCTAATGTTGGTCAAAAATGATTTTTCTTTATTTTGTTCTGAATGGAGTACAGGAGAAAAGGCCTCAGAAATCTGACAGAGCTGCGTTGTCCCGATCAATAGCACTCTGACCTCTTTTTGTTGCTTTTTTTAAAAACAAAATAGGTCAGCAGTCAGCGTCCTGTGATCATATTTACTTGATTGTATTTTCTCCTTAATGCTTGAACCACTAAAACCCCATGATGATCTCTATAAACAGCCGCTTTCTTTGTGTCCACAAACACTTCGATGCAACGACATGTGCCCTTTTTCATCATTAACATGATCTAACTTTTAAAATTCAGTCAGTTGTTTTCCTTTTGGTAACTCAGGTGTTACCTAAACAATTTCTAACAATAGAAATGGTAAAGAATGTTGCAACGTGTTTACTAAATATGCAGAATTTATTATGACACACAGATAAATAATCAGATGACTTTGATTTTAGTTTTATTTAATAGCAGGCTTTGTAGATGCTGTTTTCTACCAACAACAGCACGAGTATCGTTTTGCTTTTTTAATAATTGATTTGAAAATTTAGTTTTTAATGTTGGGATAATTACAGATTTTCCTTATTAAATGGAATATTGTTGAATATAGATTTAAATAATTGTGCATTTGAAGCATTGAAGGAACAGGATGTCCTCAGAACCAGGACTTATTAACATCTTGTTAGTGACTGATTGAATAATTAAATGTTTTCTTATATCAGTTCTCATCTGTCGCCCTCTGATGAAGGAACATTGATCAGGATAATAAGGAATTAACCAAGACCCACAACGGCTCAA